AGTGTAGAATTTTAACATGAATTTCAGTTCAGTCAACAAGAATAACCCTTGCAGTGTGATGAGATCATTTACAGCAGAAACTATGAAATGTAGTCAGTTGGCTATCTACTATTTTCCCCCAACCCAATCTAGGTGTTGTTTCTGGTTTAGTTATATTATTACAGAAGTACAAGTTGAAGTCAGTAATAAAGTCTGGCCCTTCACCAGTATTATTTTATATATAGCACTAGAGTCATTGCAGCCAAGTTAATTCTCTGCTCTTCTTTACGTGTATATGAGGTCATTTCCTTGCTGATACTGATGCCTCTGTGTGGACTTTCTCTGTAGAAGCAAACTTGATTATCTTTATTTTATCCCTCTTTCTGATCTTTTAGTGGCAACATAGTGCAATGTAGGGTTCAATTTGTGTTTGCGCCTTACCTTATCCAAATTCCATTACAAACCCAATGAAAGGACATATTTTGTGATATAGATTGTGAACTCCATAGGGCAAGGAGCATATACGCTTTTTTGTTTGTACAGAATCATGGCTATTTAAGTTACATGATAAACAGCAGACGGTTCCTCAAGGGAAATGTATTTTGCCATTTGAGAACTAAAATGAGCAAATCCTGCTCATCACAGCTGAAGAGTGATCAATAAACCACGAGTCTAGGGAGTTAGTGGAGATGTTCTCCCAGCATGCAGAACTCCAGCTGCACAATAAGCAGGAGGTGAGATTAGATCGAGGAGGAAAATGCTGGATGATTGATTGAGTTGGCTTAGACGACTGCCTCACCAAGAGAGGGGAAGGGATACACACAAATAGCATAGCCTTCTGTGACTTTTAGGCTGTGTTGGTAGAGCAGATCCTCTAATTATTATCAGAGGAAAGTTTAGGCCCCTGTGAAGCACTGGGTACAAAGGCTATTGACCTGGTCTGGAGGCATATGTATCATATATTATCTTAAAATATTTTTTTCTGTACTTTGTGTCTGGAAAAAGGGTGTTTCTATACTGTACAGTATACTTCACTTTTTTTTTATCCATGTAGCTGTGAAATATGAGGTGCTGATTGTTCCAGAGGTATCCCAGAAAAGTGGTACGTTCTTTCGGCATCCCTGTATTCCTCTTGGTGAGAGGAATAAGGGATGTTCTGAAAGAGAAGGTTTTTCTGAAATTTAGCCTCATCTAGACAGGCCAAATTTTGAAAAAACCTCTTCCGAAAAAAAAGTGGAAAAAGATACGCAAATTGTGTATCTTTTTCCAATAAAACTGCAGTCTAGTCGTAGCCTGAAAAAGTGATGCTACATGATCTTCAAGACTCACTGTATTAATATGTGGTCAGTATATTAAAAAAAAAGGAGGGAAAAACCGATTCTTTGTAAAAATGGTTGGATGCAGCTGCCTCATTCCTGTTGCTATTAATGGGAGGCTTCCTCTGCCCCAACAACTCTGACATTTTACTACATCAGGTGGCTGCATCTAGTTTTGAATTGCTTTGTAAACTCTGTTTGCATGGAGAGGGTTTCCAGTTTGCTTCAAGAATTTAGTTAGAAGACTTTGAGACAATGGAGAAGCTTTTGATCTAAAGTGACATTATACATAAAGCCACATTTAGGGCACATCTACACAGCAGGGCAAAAGTTGAATTAAGCTATGCAACTTGAGCTATGTCAATGGCGTAGCTCAAGTCAAAATAGCTTAATTCAGCTTTTGGCGCTGTCTATACAGCAAGAAGTCCAAGGAACTTCCCTTACTCCTCATGAAATGAAGGTTACTGGAGTCAGAGTAAGAAGTCCTCCAGCTCAATATTATTTTGAAAAAATGGCTTTCAGTGTAGACACACATTATTTCAGAATGTCAGTTATTCTGAAATAACACTGCTGTGTAGATATAACCTAAATGTCTTCAGTTGGGTGTAGCTGGTTAAGGAATTTAAATTTTCCTCCATAAAATGACCTCTGTGACTAAGTGAATTTCACAGAAAGTTGTCGCCTTTTGGCAAGCACGTATCTCTCCCTGCTTTTGCTACACTGATAAACCCACAACATCCTAAGTGTGATAGCACAACCAAGTAATTTTTAAATAGTCTTACTTTATAGTTGAAGAATTGATTTACTATTTGTACAGGGCATGTACAATATAAAGAAAGTAAAGGACAGGCATTTTGTCTGCTTCTGAGAACCAAAATGTTTAGCTAACTATTGAGCTATTTTATAAAACCAGGGCTTCTAGTTCTTAAAAGCCATATTAGATTTACTGTGCTAAATACTGATTTAGTGTAGGCAGGTGCAACACTATTGGTATCAATGGCATTACAACCACTTAGTCAGGACTCTTGTTTGGTTTTGCTGAGTGAGTTGCTGTGGGGTTAATTGAACAGAACTGTTCATAAATATGTAAATCTAAACCAAATAGTTAATTACAGCTTTATGGAATACTTTGCTTCTCTGCCTGGAAGGCAAAGCTTACAACATATGGTGTGCAACTTTTTTTTGTTAAGCTTTTTGGATTTAGTGTTATGCAGTTTAGAATGTGAATTATCTTTCTTTGGATAAAGTCTGTTCTTACTCCAGCATAATTTGTACTTTAAGACTGCTAAAATCACAATAATGAGTATACTGCACTAAATAGATGTTAGAAAATGTGGCTCTTTGCCAAACACTTCCATGTACATACTAAATAGGTGTTTTTTTTTTTTTAAATAATAGAAACATAACCAAGATGGCATCCGACACAATTCAAGATTCTCTTTTACTGGGTAACTTCTGTTTTGGGTATTTTAGAAAATTCACATGCAACAATGTTTGAATATGGAGATACATATTAAAAATGTATCAGGAGGTAGCTGTGTTAGTCTGAATCCGCAAAAGCGGTGAGGAGTTCTGTGGCACCTTATAGATTAACCAAAGTGTTGGAGCATAAGCTTTCGTGGGCAAAGACCCACTTCGTCAGATGCTTCTGACGAAGTGGGTCTTTGCCCATGAGTAGCTTATGATCCAACACTTCTGTTAGTCTATAAGGTGCCACAGGACTCCATATTGAAAATGAAACATTTTGAAAACTAAACTATTGCACTGTAATAAAAGGGTCCTTCTCTGCCTCGCCACTCCTCCCCCCCCCTTTAAATTAGGGATGTAAAAAATGTATAAAAATTAACTGTAACCAGTAAAAAAAAATTTAAAATCCATGGAGCTGGCGGGGTTCTAGCCCTATAGGGGTGCTGCCTATGCTGCTGGCTCCCAACCCTGCAAGTATAGAGCTTTAACAGTTAATGGTAACTAATAAGCATCCACATATCAGTTAACCTGTTAAACACTTGTATCCCTATTTTAATTCAGTGAGTGAAATTGCCTGAACCAATTTTGATCCCTCTTAGAAACCTCAAAAAAATCTCTATTTCCAGATCATAATCCTAATCTTGCCTGAGTGTCTCGTATTACATTTCCAAATTCTTTATGTGGATCCTTTTGTAGTAAAGCTACGATTACTTGCCCCAGAAAATGACAATTTTCTATTTGTGTAATATTTATTGATGCTAAACCCACATTATCAGCACAACAATCCAAAGTAATGATATGATAGTAGTTTTTTATAAATACAAATAAAAGGTGTCAACATAATGCTAGTTAAGCTAAGCAAACAGTAAAAGTAGCATGTCACAGTCAAGAAAAACTTGGCAAATAAGACATACTTTTCTCTAAAATATAGGTAGAATATTTTCATATGACAGACTATTAATTTAGATAAGCAGTGCCTGTAACTGTGGTCATAACCTGCACCAATCTGCATAGAATATTACTGTCTTCTGTGCTAACGTTTAGTCACTAAAAAAACAAACAAAAAAAACTTGGTTGTGTACTTACAAAGAGGTATGAAGCAATATATGTATAGCAGTACTGCAAAATATATCGGTAGTACACAAACTAATAGCTGGACTTGAATAACTGAGCTGAGATATGATTTCAACACTTTTTATTATAAATAATGAGATACCATGTATGTGCTTCATATAAGGAATACAGCATGTTTTATATCAAAGTACTCTCGTATCATCAGTACCTCAATTTTCCTCTCCTCCCGTTAGGCCCAGTTAAAATTTGTCTGCCCCCTCAACTAAAAGTTATTGGTTCAGAGTCAAAGCTGCCTAGTACAGTAGACTAGGTAGAGTCCAGTTTGATGTGGAATCACTTTGCTTCCTGGAAGTAGCCTTTGTTCTAAAGTCTTTACCTACTGCACACAGCCCCTAGACACAGCATAGTTATTGTATGCTAGGGAAGAGAACAAATATTTATCATCCACCTACATGTCTTAAGAAAACAGTAAAATGGCACATCTGTTTTTCTCCATCCTCATTCTACTAGACTATCCTCTAGAATATGTGCTTGTCATTTATACTCCAGTTGCAGACTCAGTCCATATTTTCACTTGCTCTACATTCTTAAAACCCTTATACACATTCACAAGATCTAAACATTCGGAAATGTCAAATACATAAACTCCATAGCTTGCTGCTGACCTAGGAATTTCAAATGTGTGAATAGCAGAGTTCTGTTAGTTGGCAGATTCTGCTTTAACCCTCCCAAACATCCATACTTCCCTGTCCCCTCGCCCCTTTTGCTAACTTTATGTAGTAAAACTATACTGTTGGCGCTCTTCTCTTTCCCAAAAGTATCCTTTACTTGGGTGCTAGGATTTAGTCTGTAGTAGAGCGTATTATGCCTCTGCTCATTAGTTTGACTAGGTTCAATTATTTATGCTGAAATTAGCCTTGCAGTATGTTTGTAAATAAGCCCTCCTACCTGGCAAAAAAAGAAAATAGGAAAAAAATTAAACTAAGGTGTCAGCTTTGCTGTATTGTAATGGCATTTCTAACATTTTAAGGCAAGTATTTCCCCTCTCACTGTATAAACAAGATATTTGCTTCAGTTTTTCCTTCCTATTTTATTCTTAGAATATTGCACTTGTGCACTGTAGCTATGCTGCTGCATTGCCATTTTAAATTTCCTTTGTGGCCCAAAAGCCTCAAATGAATCTTCTCACACCATTAATAATGTAGCATCTACATCTTGCTTAGGAAGGTACTTAGTGACACATACTATACTGTTAACTTCTGAATCGCTTCAGTGTTCTGCCCTTTATGAAAAAGGCTATTCATAAGAGTTCTAGCAATGCAGACATAGGGAACTGAGTGGTGAATGTGATTTTCTGTGCACTGTGTACATCAGCTACCTAGCTTAATTTATTAGGCATAAGAAATATATGGTTATGGTGGGGATTTTTGTACTTGAAGGTGTCTGTCTTTACATAAAGTGACATAGAAGTATCATTGGTCAAGGCAATGGCTTTCAGTGTTTCTGCTTTGAAAGAAAATGATGGATCTGGTAGCTTCGGTCTACAGGTCATCGCTCTCTACCAAGCCAGACTGCAACGTCAGATGAACTGGGTTTGCTTCAGGCTGGAACGCTGCCTTGATGTCTAGTCCTTGGTCAGAAAGTGCTGCATATCGACTGGCTGAGGGGCGCACCTTCTTTGGCTTGGTGGTTTGAGGTGGTTGTTGCCACTGAGCTACAGATTTAAAAAAAATAGGTTCACCCTTCTCAGATAACGAAAGTACATATGCAAACTCCCCTTCATAAAACATTGAAATTCTTTCTTTCACTTCAATAGCAGAGAATTAACTATAGATTTATTTACTTTATTCACTGATTTTCAGAACAGCCAAGCCTGTTCTTTCCTCTACTGCTCTCACTCTTAGGATAACAACACATGTTAAGAGGTATTGAGGCTAACTGCACATGAAAAGACTACATTGTTTGCCTCCCTTTACTCTTTTGCTGTGTAGCCCATCGGCTAAGCCGCCTCAGCCTGCTCCCACCGTTAGGCTATTTCTACACTGCAAGGTTTTTGCGCAAAAACTTGTGGAGCGTCCACACCTCACATGCGCTTTTGCTGGTGTAGGTAAACCTCCTTCTATGAGGCATAACTCCCTTTTGTGGTACAGCTATTATGCAAAAAAGGCAAGTGTGGATGCTCCATAGGGATTTCTTGAGGAAAAAGCACAGGTGCTCTGACAGCCATTCTGTGAATGGCAATCAGAACTTTCTTGCACAAGAGCACATCACTTGTGCAATGCACTGAGTTGTGGGCATGCTCTTGTGCAAGAAGTTTTTGTGCAAAAACCCTACAGTGTAGATGTAGCCATTCTCTTGAAAGATATGCATTATGACTACATTCCTACTGATTGGCTACAAAATTCACCATGACGACTTCCAAGATGTCCAGAAAAATAACTGCAGAGCATGGAAGACATTCTTGTCTCCTCCCCCACCCACTGAAAATACCAGGCTAGGTTCAATGGAATTACTCCAACAGGTACCCTCTTCCATCTGTGGTTTGACAAATATAGCTACAGTACCATTCAGATCTCTTGTTTTGTAACTAGTGACACCATCACCACCCCATTATTTTGTGTACACTTGAAAAAGCATAAACATATTGCTCAAAGTGAGAATTGTGGGTAACTAATCAGACCAGTTTAATTTTGATTTAAGATCAGCTCACAATAGAGGAACTATATTTAGCTAATTGAGTAGTAAACTGCAACAGGCTTTGTATTCGTGGGCCATTGTCTCAAGTGTGTTTTAGGTAATACTAATAAAGGTTAAAAGCTGATGCTAGTAGAGCATTGTAATGAGAAACAACAGAAAATGTCATGCTACTCTCAAGTGTTACCAATCAGGATGCATGTGTAAATAAGCTAGATGTAGTATTCTAAGCAACTACAAAAATGAGCATGCTTGGTTTGCGTAAGTATTTGAAAGGTGGTGAAATATACTTTGATAGGGTATTTGCTGTCTTGATGAGGATCATTATTATTGTGAAGAAACTATAAACAAAAGAGAGAGAGAGAGATCAGTGTAAGCCTATGTGGTATAAAGGTTTTTAGAACTGCAGTTTTTTTGGGGAGATTGGTTTAATTTAAATTCCTATCTGAGAATAAGAGACACTTACTATAAACATCAAGCCTGGCAGTACAGGACACAATCCCAGCTTCGTTCTTAGCTGACACAGTATACCAACCAGCATCTTCTTTTGTAGCTCCCTGAATAAGTAGGCAAATGTAGCCATGGTTATCCTGGTGCATACTAAGTGGGATAGAAGAAAAGGTTATTAAAACTCAAAATTACATAACAGCTAACTTTAAGCAGCAAATGTATAATATCTCCTGTTGATGACAGTACAGCTACCACAACAGGTAATAAAATGTGTGCAGAACAAGTGAATAATGATTCTGACCTTTAAGTTCCAATTTGTTTTTATGCTAATTTTTAAAACAAGTCAAGATGCATAAATTAACATCGGGCTAATATCTCAATAACTCATCTTTTTCTTGTCCAAATTTCAAGACACTTCTGTAGAGCTCAGGTTTCGATTACCTTTTTAAGGTAAAAACTTTTAAAAAGAGACTGTGGAGAAGGATAACAAAACAGATATTTTTACTTATGTACTGAATGAAGTTGTTTGTTAGAGTTTTAGACCTATTCCTTCATTACTATAAGAAAAGTAATTTATTAACATTTTCACAAGGGTTTGGAGAGAAATTTTTTAATGCTAACTACTGAAAGGATATTGTAATAGGTTGACATCCCCCCCCAGCTTAACAGTACCCTGCTGTATTTTTTAAAAAGCTTTTAGTAACTTAATAGAAAAAATACTGCAGCAAAATGTAGTGGTCTGAACACAGGAGTAGATGTCAGAAATGACTGTGTTCTAATGCTGGCTTGAGAAAGTCATGTGCCTCATCACCTTCTGTAATACCAAGAAATTAATATTTCACCAGTCTTGTGGGAGGATTACTTCAGAGCACATAATAAACACTAAGGACTAGATTCACAAAGAAATTTATGCCCCTATAAAGTCCCTGGGATTCACAAAGCCTGAGTTCTGTGCTTTGCCTTCCTCTTAGGTGTGTGAATACTTACCAGTTATGGTTAACTGGCAGGCACTAAGGCAGTTTCCCACTTGCCACAGGCAGGGGTACTCCAGCATGGCCACAGCAGCCCTCTGTCCACAATAGGCCTGGCCAATGCCTGGGCTTTTACATCCCTACTTCCTATTCACAGATTTGTAGAAACCAAGGCCTGAACAGATGGATGTGCTCACATGGGGCTTGTCTTCACATTGCAACAATCAATCTGCCAGCAGTTGATTTACTGCATCTGCTTAGACACATAGAATCATAGAACTGGAAGAGACCTCAGAAGGTCATCCAAGTCCAGCCCTCTGCTCTAGGCAGGACCAATTCCAACTAAATCAACCCTGCCAGGGCTTTGTCAAGCCGAGACTTAACCTCTAGGTATGGAGACTCCACTACTTCCCTAGGTAACCCATTCCAATGCTTCACCACCCTCCTAGTGAAATAGTTTTCCCTAATATCCAACCTGGACCTCTCCCACCACAACTTGAGACCATTGCTCCTTGTTCTGCCATCTGTCACTACTGAGAACAGCCTCTCTCCATCCTCTTTGGAACCTCCCTTCAGGAAGTTGAAGGCTGCTATCAGATCCCTCTTCACTCTTCGCTTCTGCAGACTACACAGACCCAAGTCCCTCAGCCTGTCGTCGTAGGTCATATGCTCCAGCCCCCTAATCATTTTGGTTGCCTTCCACTGGACCCTCTCCAATGCGTCCACATCCTTTTTGCAGTGGGGGTTGGGGGGGCCCAGAACTGGACACAATACTCCAGATGTGGCCTCACCAAAGCCGAATAAAGGGGAATAATGACATCTCTTGATCTGCTGGCAATGCTCCTCTTAATGCAACCTAATATGCCATTAGCCTTCTTGGCTACAAGGGCACACTGTTGACTCATATCCAGCTTCTCATCCACTGTAACCCCCAGGTCCTTTTCTGCAGAACTACTACTTAACTGGTTGGTCCCCAGCTTGTAACTATGCTTGGGATTCTTCCGTCCCAAGTGCAGGACTCTGCACTTGTCCTTGTTGAACCTCATCAGATTTCTTGTGGCCCAATCCTCCAATTTGTCTAAGTCACTCTGGACTCTATCTACCTCTCCCCCCAGCTTAGTGTCATCCGCAAACTTGCTGAGGGTGCAATCCATCCCCTCATCCAAGTCATTAATAAAGATACTGAACAAAACCGGTCCTAGAACCGAACCTTGGGGCACTCCGCTAGAAACCGACCGCCATCCTGACATCGAGCCGTTGATCGCTGGGCCCGACCTTCTAGCCATCTTTCTATCCATCTTACCGTCCATTTATCCAATCCACATTCCTTAACTTGCTGTCAAGAATATTGTCAATAAATCAATCTGCAAGTGCTCTCTAGTTGACTCCAGCTACTCTTCTCATCCTGGTGGAGTATTGGAGTTGACAGGAGAGAACCACTGCCAACCTTACTGTGTGAAAGATGCTGTGGTGATTATATGGATAGCATGACAGGTAATTGCATCCAGTAGGGGGAAGGGAGATGGTGTGTAATCTGCATTCCAAAATCACCTTTAGTACTGTTGACCACAGCATCACTGAGCACGCTCATGTTTCAGGTAATTGAAAACAATTTGGGAGCAGTGGTGTTTAGTCACTGCCTCCTAAGATAGTTTCCCATCCTATATTGTCCTATATTCTTTGTTTACATTTATACTGTAAATGTGGGAGACAGTCACCATGGCATGGTATTCACAGAAGCTAGCATGCTAGGAGTCTGTGTACCAAGGGCTGTGGGTGAAGTCCTAATCCTTTGTGCCCCTTGCCCTACGTATTTTTACAACCTGATATCCTCTGGAGGTTATTTCACTCTTGACTTACTTTGAGCTCTCTCAGTGAAATTAATCATATCATATTCAAGTGCTCTCACCTCACTCTTTCAGTGTTGTGAGTAAGAGACTCATTTTCTTTCTTCCAAAATATCTGAGGGTACGGCACTGCAGAGACTCGACACTCCAGTCGCACAGGATATCCATCAGCCACTCCTGTATTCTGTAGCTTCTCTATAAACACAGGTGGCTTGTGTGCTTCTTTAGCTGTGAAAACACCGTAGAAATGGCAACAATATTTACAGATACAACATTTTATTACTACTCAGCCTCCCTTTCAATACCCAGTTCAATGGTAGATTTTAAAACATTATTTAGTGGCAGGACATTTTCTAAAATGGTAAATGTGTTTAGATCTGAACCTGTTTCAGTGAGAGAGAACCCATCTTTCTCCTGTTAAAGTCATAGACAGGACAAGTTCTAACAGAGCAGGGCGAAATGTTGAAATTCTCAGTTCAGGTACGCTCAAAATTGTCAAACAAAAGTGGCGTGAAATGCGCCTATCACTTGGCACAACTGGTCCCAATACAGATGTCATTTAGTTTGGCAATCTGTCAGATCCCTAAGACTTCCTGTATCCCTGCAGTACATTGTAAACACTGGAGCTATTGCAATGGTCTTAAAGTGTTTAGCACAGAACTCAAGGGATGGGAGCAAGTGTCAACTGGTAATTACTATTCTGCTAGCTACAGCACAAAGGGGTGAGAGCATAGGAAAGTTCTGATTCAAAATAACAAATGCCTCTCTTTGCCCATTTGCAAATATGTACTACATGCATTTATATGAATATACATAGTTCAAACACTAACCTTCTGCAGTTCATGAGATACTAATTTTAGTGGGTAATAATTCCATAGTCTTCCTAGAGAATTTTAACTTACATTTTCAATATTTCACATAGACCTTAAACAGTTGAACAGATAGTCTTTGCATGAAGATGTTACCTGCAACAATGAGTTCCAGGCTGAATGTGTTTTGACCAGCTCTGTTGGTGGCAATGCATGTATAGATTCCAGAATCTCTAGCAGTGACTGGCTCTATGATCAGAGAGTGTACACCATTTTCACGCACCAACATTTTGTGAGAACTATCAGGACGGATTGGTCTTCCATTGAGTTGCCAGCTTAGATCTGGAGTAGGTAATCCACTGACCTTAAATATATGCAGAATGGGATAGATTTTAGTAATATAAAATAGAGGATAACTCCTTATTTTATGCTGCAGAGAAACGGGAATGTTTCTGCAAGAGAATTTCAAGTATGAGACAAAATACAGCGAACCAATTGTTGCCCTCAGTTACACACACATGCTGAACTGGGCTAAATTACACCTTATACCCTGGAACCTATAGCATTGTAAGACTGACTACATATAAGTATTAAAATATATCTTGAATCTAAATAAAGTAATTGACATCCAACTTTTCGCTCTGTATGTCATCTTTTTTTGCAATTTTGCCCTTGATTCTGAACGAGAAAAGACATTTTTAGAATTCCTTTCTTGTGGAAAGTTTACAGATGATGACAACTGGTTTGTAAAGCAATTCTTCCTTTATAAAACAAACCACAGAGAGCAGTAGGTTGAAATAACGTATAGGAAAATGAAGGTGTTGAATGCTATAATGGTTTAAAAAAGCAACAACAAAAAAAGGCAAGTTATTTTGTGCACTCTGAGACTGAGACATACAGTAGGTTTCAGTGTTAAAATGTGTTCTCTCTCAGTTAAAAAGGACAACTGAAGTAGGTTAGGGCAGGGGTTCCCAAACTTTTTGACACAGGGACCAGTAAATCCATTCACAAACTTTTGGAGGACTGGTAATGTTCATGTGCATATTCATTAATCAAATGATGAATATTCAAATAAGTTGTTTATGGTCCTCCCAAAACCCCCACTGCCAGCTTTAGCAAAGCTTTTGATATGGTCACCCACAATGTTCTTGCCAGCAAGTTAAGGAATGTGGATTGGACTGTAAGACAGACCGAAAGCTGGTTAAACCAGGGTTTCCCAAACTTTTTACTTTAGTTGGAACCCTTTTTTTTCCCCCAATACTGCTTTTTACAGCCCAAAAATATAAACACATAAAAAACAAACTGATATAACATGTCTGGTATTTTCTCAGTAGGTAAGTTTATTATTACTAGATGTATCAGTTTGTAGTTTTGAACTGCCTGGCTGGTAAATGTGCTCAGGCTGCATGAGTGTGTCTACCGGCCAGACAGTTCGCAACTACTCGAAGGGTGTGTGTGTGTGGGGAGGGACAATAGAATCCCCAGGCCGGACTAACTCATGCTTTGTGCTTTGCAGGGGGGAGGGGGGAACAGGGGCAGCATCCCAAGATCTACATATGGCTGGGTCAGTCCTACTCCCGGCAGGCCGATTCATTCCTCCCCCCTGCTCCCCCCGCTGCGCCTCTGGCCAGCCCCACTTCCCCCAACCCCCTCCTGGGCAGCCAGGTCCCTCCCGCTTCTCCTCCCAATCTCCCTTGGCCAGCCCCGCTGCCCACGTCCAGCCCTGCTTCCGGCAGCTGCTTTTCCTTCCCCCCCCCCCCTGTCTATTCTGGCCCGCTCCCCACCCCCCCCCTC